AGAGAGAGAGAGAGAGAGAGAGAGAGGAAGAGGGGGAGAGAGAGAGAGAGAGCAGACATATAGAGAAAGCAGTGGGTAGAGAAAGTTATAGTAAATAGAGGGAGACAAGTCCAGGAGGTACTTGTGATCAGCAGATCTTTGTGATCAGCAGAATTACCTCTCTGTGACGTCAACACATCCAGTCTGTTTATCCAGCCCCTTAAGGTACAGTGTCAGTCATGGCATCCAGAGCTTCGTATATGAGTTTGTGGTTACATTCCCCCAGTCCTACCCTCAACTAACCATACCAAGTGGCAGGGTCAAGCTGTTAAATTCACACATTCTGCCTTTCAATGATAGCAAATATACAGATACAGAACCCTACCGATCATAACATAACATGTTGATAAAAGTCTACATTGATCTCATCAGCATCTGTTCTATTTTAATTTGTTTATTTGGCTCCCGATCCATGCTCATGTTCTCTAGCCCCAAGGCAAACCCTGTCTGCATATTCTGTAGGAAGTGATTAACAGTTGTCAGTGGAAACTCCAACACACACTCACACATGCACGCACACACACACACATGCTCATACACGCACACGCACGCATGCACTCACGCACACACAGACAGGCAGACACACACACATGCACTGTGTGAGGAGACTGTGTGTGTGAATGTTCTCATTACCCCAGACTTCAAAGCAAACAGCTTTCTGAGATGGCAGTTCAAACCACCTCATTATTGACCTAATCCTATATTCTCCTCTCTTCTCACACAAACATAATACAGAACACACACTCTAATAGTACTAGTAGTATTACACCACACACACTACTAATACCATAAACATATTGCCACACAGACTCACATACTCTTTCAAGGTCTCCTCAACTTCTCTCTAAGTGCTGTGACTGGCATAGTTTAAGGCTTTTCTGATCAATGTTTGATATATAAGGGAGATCCTAACGTGTACAAGATACTTTACAGACAGACTGTGTCATTCTTCTAGTACCAATAACTAAAAACCCAAATGTCCTTTCAAATATGTTTTATTGAATCAAATTCTTCACCCTCATTTCTCGCTACTTAGTATGAGGTAGACTCCTGTATTCACCTCAATTAGTGAACTTTATTCAGGATTCCTCCGTTGTAATTTGGGAAGGGATTTGATTGTACCCTTGGTTAGGGACAGGGAGACAAAAACAGAAGGTTTTTAGTCTGAATACACCATTCACTCTCTCTGTCGAGGGCTACTGTTGTCCGTCTGTCTGTCTGGGTGTGCTGTCTACTGTCCCTCTCCTCCTCTTCCCCCTTTCTTTCCACTCTCTTTCTCTCTCCTCTTTCCTCCGTGCACAGATTGAGAGGGGAGTCCAGGCAGCAGAGTGGACTATCCCCGGATGACACTAAAGTTGTAGGAGCAGAACACTCTCTGGGGTGACTTTGGGACAAGACCTTTGTTGAATGTGTTAATGTTGAATCTGTCAGAGACTGTGTACAGATGTAGGATCTTAATTTGAGCCAGCTTGCTACAGCAGGAAAATAATCTTGCAGCACCAGGAAATGTGAATTATTATGTGGATTATATTTAATGGACATTTCTGCAGGGTTTGATACACGTTTTGTAAAATCAAGTCTGAAATGTCAAAGTGGAAATTACAAACTTCAGTAAACTGTTTAAACCTGAAATACAGTGACATTGGTCATTCAGGTGTGACAGACGGGAGTAGACAGGGCAGCCTGAGGCTGACACCATGACACACACACAGGGCAGTGTATTACTTACGCTCGTGCACCCACACACTAACACACACACCAAGCATTAATGAACTACTGGGAATTGAAAATATTTTAATTGAAAAAGAATAACTTGGATTCTAACCTCCTTCACTATACTCCCATTCACTACAGCTGTGTTCACTGAAAATATCAGAACATCTATAGAACCTAGCTAATCAAGTTGGGTCTGAGAGTTCCTTTTCCAGAGGAGAGAGAGAGAGAGAGAGAGAGAGAGAGAAGAGAGACGAGAGAGAGAGAGAGAGCGAGAGAAGCATACAGCGATAGAGAGAACAGCGAGACATGCACGCGAGCTCCCGAATCTCGCTCTCGGAGAGACCGACAGAGCAGAGAGGATAAGTTCCACGCTACCGAGCTCCTCCGAGAGAAGCTGGAAGAGGGGCCACTGATCCTCTCGAAGTGAAGAAGAGCTCCAAAGAAAGAAAGAAGAGACAGGAGAGAGGAGAAAGAAACAAGGAGACAAAGGATAGAAAGAGTGAAATAGAGCGAGAGAGAGTGCGATAAAGGAGAGAGAAGGGATAGATATTGAATAGACTAGCAGTCCACAATGGACTCTGTGCTCAACAAAGTCTTATTGATGAAACATTCACAGCAAATATTTCACAGTACTTTTTTGTTGTTCCTCTCATCTAAACCCCATTACTCTTCTGTGTGAACATTACACACATACACACACACACACACACACACACACACACACACACACACACCACACACACACACACACACACACACGCTTGTATAAACTGTCTGACTCTCAGTTTTTCTATTTTACAGTGCATTCGGAAAGTATTCAGACCCCTTCACCTTGTCCACATTTTGTATCATTTGATTTACACAACATGCCTACCACTTTGAAGATGCAAAATATATTTTATTGTGAAACAAACAAGAAACAAGACAAAAAAAAGAAAATTTGAGCGTGCATAACTATTCACCCCCCCTCCCCAAAGTCAATACTTTGTAGAGCCACCTTTTGCAGCAATTACAGCTGCAAGTCTCTTGGGGTATGTCTCTATAAGCTTGGCACATCTAGCCACTGGGATTTTTGCCCATTCTCCAAGGCAAAACTGCTCCAGCTCCTTCAAGTTGGATGGAATCTGCTGGTGTACAACAATCTTTAAGTCATACCACAGATTCTCAATTGGATTGAGGTCTGGGCTTTGACTAGGCCATTCCAAGACATTTAAATGTTTCCCCTTAAACCACTTGAGTGTTGCTTTAGCAGTATGCTTAGGGTCATTGTCCTGCTGGAAGGTGAACCTCCGTCCCAGTCTCAAATCTCTGGAAGACTGAAACAGGTTTCCCTCAATAATTTCTATGTATTGAGGGCCATCCATCATTCCTTCAATTCTGACCAGTTTCCCAGTCCCTGACGATTAAAAACATCCCCACAGTGAAGCATGGTGGTGGCAGGGTTATCAGAGGTGTTGGGTTTGCTCCAGACATAGCGTTTTCCTTGATGGCCACAAAGCTCAATTTTTGTCTCATCTGACCATAGTACCTTCTTCCATATGTTTGGGGAGTCTCCCACAAACGTGTTTGCTTATTTTTTTCTTTAAGCAATGACTTTTTTTCTGGCCACTCTTCGTAAAGCCCAGTTCTGTGGAGTGTACGGCTTAAAGTGGTCCTATGGACAGATACTCCAATCTCCGCTGTGGAGCTTTGCAGCTCCTTCAGGGTTATCTTTGGTCTCTTTGTTGCATCTCTGATTAATGCCCTCCTTGCCTGGTCTGTGAGTTTTGGGGGGCGGCCCTCTCTTGGCAGGTTTGTTGTGGTGCCATATTCTTTCAATTTTTTAATAATGGATTTAATGGTGCTCCGTGGGATGTTCAAAGTTCTGGATATTTTTTTATAACCCAACCCTGATCTGTACTTCTCCACAACTTTGTCCCTGACCTGTTTGGAGAGCTCCTTGGTCTTCATGGTGCCGCTTGCTTGGTGGTGCCCCTTGCTTAGTGGTGTTGCAGACTCTGGGGCCTTTCAGAACAGGTGTATATATACTGAGATCATGTGACAGATCATGTGACACTTAGATTGCACACAGGTGGACTTTATTTAACTAATTATGTGACTTCTGAAGGTAATTGGTTGCACCAGATCATATTTAGGGCTTCATAGCAAATACATATGCACTCACCACTTTCCGTTATTTATTTATTTCATTTCACTTCACCAATTTGGACTATTTTGTATATTGCCATTACATGAAATCCAAATAAAAATCCATTTCAATTACAGGTTGTAATGCAACAAAATAGGAAAAACGCCAAGGGGGATGAATACTTTTGCAAGGCACTGTAAATCCTTAGCAATCTACACACAATAACCCATAATGACAAAGCGAAAACAGGTTTTTAGACATTTTTGCACATTTATAAAAAATAAAAACAGAAATACCTTATTTACGTAAGTATTCAGACCCTTTGCTATGAGACTCGAAATTGAGTTCAGGCGCATCCTGTTTCCATTGATCATCCTTGAGATGTTTCTACAACTTGATTATAATCCACCTGTGGTAAATTCAATTGATTGGACATGATATGGAAAGGCACACACCTGTCTATATAAAGTCCCACAGTTGACAGTGCATGTCAGAGCAAATACCAAGCCATGAGGTCAAAGGAATTGTCCTTAGAGCTCAGAGACAGGATTGTGTCGAGGCACAGATCTGAGAAAGTGTACCAAAAAATGTCTGCAGCATTGAAGGTCCCCAAGAACACAGTAGCCTCCATCGTTCTAGAAAGTTCTAGAAAGCAATAAAACCAACCCTGTAACACCAAGCTAAGCATGTGTATATACACAATTTATAGGGTATGCAAATAAGTCTAGAATCAGAAAGCTTATGGATAAGAGCGTCTGCTAAATGATGTAAATGTAAAATGTAAAAAAACTAAAATCAGAATTCTATTTGTTTTGTTATTTTTTTGTTGGGGGGGGGGGGGGGGGGGTTACAGGTACATTATCCATTTAAATGTATCCATTTATAAAAACTATCTGTAGGCTGCCATTCAAAATAAAAAAAATACCATTAAGAAATACATACAGAACGTAATAATAAATAATAATACATTCGGTATAAACAGGAAAAGAAAACCAAAAAAAAGTGGGCCTCCACCCCCAACCTCCCATACCATTCCCCCAACCAGCCAACATTTCTCCATCCATGTCACTCTTATGATCCCGTTATGAAGCATTATAAGAGGTGTATGTCTTACCTTCTTGTAGAGGCTGCGTAGGTCTCTGTACTGCCACATACTGCTGAGCACCTGAGAGGCAGCCTTCACCACCTTGGCAGAGTGTCTGAGAGAAAGAGAGAGAGAGAGGGGGGGGGGGGGGGAGACATTTGTATTGGATTGTAATGCTGTGAGAAGGTTATATAAATGATGCTGTATGAGCCAATATTTAATTTCAATCTTTATTCTAAACTGAGAAACAGAGGGACATTCAGACAAGCTAATATTGTCCACATTAAGTCTTAATTTACTCTACTCAAACATTACTTTACTCTTCACCCAAAATGGCACCCTATTCCCTATATAGCCCTATGGGCCCTGGCCAAAAGTAGTGCACTATATACGGAATAGGGTGCCATTTGGGACGCAGACTAACTTTAAGGTGAACACTGCAGGGACTGAAAATGTGTTCATCATCAGGAGTCCCTCTGCCTGGCGCAACAATGGTTTTAAGAGGTGATTGAGCTTTAGAAGAGTAGCAATCTTCCTAAGCAGTTGTAGAGCAGTTACTTTAAAACCAGCCACTCCTGCTGCTGCTAACCACTTTAGAGAAAATTAGAGTGGGTTTTTCGCTTTTTGAGAGCGACGGGAGGACTTGAGGAGGGTGGTTATTGTACAATAGTGTTTCATTAGAAACATATACAGCTCTTGTGAATATGTAGAAAATAGAGAAGAGGCTACAGAGACATTGTCCTCCAACAGTGTCAACCGCCATATTATTATACTGAGTATGAGTCATGAATAGAAGTGTGATCCTTGAAGTAGCCTACCCATTCACTGTATAGGTCAAAGCATGGCTGTACTAGTCTACACATATAGCTAGAAACAGACTCTTATTCTATGCCAAACATGTCCTGCTGGAGACAGAATAGTTCCTAACCACAGAAGATTAATGAGGACCTATTGGGTGGAATGAACACATATCTGACCCTGTATCAGTTGTTAGGGGCAACGTCTACAGGGAGCAACATCACTCACTGTCACGTTACACCAACGTGCTACCCAGAATGGACTGCGGTGAACTCCATAGTGATACATCAACACACAACCCCGATGTAAGGATCTTTCTGACAACCGTTTGGTGTCATAGCAACCATCAGAACACCCTACTCGGTCTCCCGTAGCGACAGGGGTTATATTCTGGTAACGTCAGCGCTGTGTTTTGTCAGTACGCTCCACTGAGCTCATATACACACAGACTCATGACAGACTGAGTTCACCACGTAAATAACGCACCACAAACCCTCTTCCTATTTCTAGTCCCTGGAGGAAAAGCTTGAGAAGTTGGGCCCTAACCACAGTCATCCTAGAAGCATCCTAACCTAAAACTGAGTGTGTGTGACTGTGTGAGTGGAGGCATAGCCCCCCTCACTTTTGCTACATGTGATGTCTGTATGTGTGTATGTACAGTGCATTTGGAAAGTATTCAGACCACTTTTTCCACATTTTGTTAGGTTACAGCTTTATTCTAAAATTGATTAAATAAAACATTTTACTCATCAATCTACACACAATACCCCATAATGACAAAGCGAAAACAGGTTTTAAGAAAAAATGTCCTTATTTACATAATTATTCAGACACTTTGATTCATCCTTGAGATGTCTCTACAACTTGATTGGAGTCCACCTGTGGTAAATTCAATTGATTGGACATGATTTGGAAAGGCACACACCTGTCTATTTAATGTCACACAGTTGACAGTGCATGTCAGAAAAAAAACCAAGCCATGAGTTCGAAGGAATCGTCCTTAGAGCTCCGAGACAGGATTGTTTCGAGGCACAGATCTGGGGAAGAGTATTCTTCAATGGAAGAAGTTTGGAACCACCAAGACTCTTCCTAGAGCTGGTCGCCAGGCCAAACTGAGCAATCGGGGTAGAAGGGCCTTGGTCAGGGAGGTGACCAAGAACCCAATGATCACTCTGACAGAGCTCTAGAGTCCCTCTGTGGAGATGGGAGAACCTTCCAGAAGGACAACTATCTCTGCAGCACTCCACCAATCAGGCCTTTATGGTAGAGGGGCCAGACGGAAGCCACTCCTCAGTAAAAGGCACATGACAGCCCACTTGGAGTTTGCCAAAAGGCACCTAAAGGACTCTCAGACCATGAGAAACAAGATTCTCTGGTCTGATGAAACCAAGATTGAACTCTTTGGCCTGAATGCCAAGCGTCACGTCTGGAGGAAACAAGTCACCGCTCATCACTTGGCCAATACCATCCCTACGGTGAAGCATGGTGGTGGCAGCATCATGCTGTGGGGATGTTTTTTAGCGGCAGGGACTGGGAGACTAGTCAGGATTGAGGGAAAGATGAACGGAGCAAAGTACAGAGCGATCCTTGATGAAAACCTGCTCCAGAGCACTCAGGACCTCAGACGATATGCAGAGAAGAATGGGAGAAACTCCCCAATTACAGCTGTGCCAAGATTGTAGCGTCATACCCAAGAAGATCGCTGCCAAGGGTGCTTAAACAAAGTACTGAGTAAAGGGTCTGAAGAAGTGGCGCCCGAGAAGATGGCTGCCGTTTTACAGCCCTCTAACCAATTGTACTATTATGTGTGTTTTTTCGCGTTATTTGCAATTTATTCTGTACATAATGTTTCTGCCACCGTCTCTTATAACCAAAAAGAGCTTCTGGATATCAGGACAGCGATTACTCACCTCGTAATGGACAAATATTTTTTCTTCAATGAGCCGGACGCGAAGGATATCCTACAGACACCCGACAAGGCCCAAATCCCCGTCATTCGCATGAGAAAGAGACAGAGATATTGTGGACGTAGGTTGGGGTGCCTTGTAAGGATCCAACGGTGAGCAAGTAAACTGCCTCTTTCATCAATCCTATTAGCCAATGTTCAATCATTTGAGAACAAATTGGACGACCTACGATTACGGGTATCCTACCAACGGGACATTAACAACTGTAATATCTTATGTTTCACAGAGTCGTGGCTGAACGACGACATGGACAACACACAGCTGACAGGATATATGCTATATCGGCAGGATAGAATGGCTGACTCCGGTAAGACAAGGGGTGGCGGTCTGTATATATTTGTAAACAACAGTTGGTGCACAAAATCTAATACTAAGGAAGTCTCAAGGTTTTGCTCGCCTGAGGTAGAGTATCTCATGATAAGCTGTAGACCACACTATTTACTAAGAGACTTCATCTATATTTTTCGTGGTTGTCTAGCACAGACTGGAATATGTTCCGGGATTCTTCAGAAAGCATTGAGGAGTACACCACATCAGTCACTGGCTTCATCAATAAGTGCATCGATGACTTCGTCCCCACAGTGACCGTACATACATACCCCAACCAGAAGCCATGGATTACAGGCAACATCCGCACTGAGCTAAAGGGTAGAGCTGCCGCTTTCAAGGAGCGGGACTCTAACCCGGACGCTTATAAGAAATCCTGCTATGCCCTCCGATGAACCATCAAACAGGCAAAGAGTCAATACCGGACTAAGATTGAATCGTACTACACCGGCTCTGACACTCGTCGGATGTGGCAGGGCTTGAAAACTATTACAGACTACAAAAGGAAGCACAGCCACGAGCTGCCCAGTGACACAAGCCTACCAGACGAGCTAAATCACTTCTATGCTCGCTTCGAGGCAAGCAACACTGAAGCATGCATGAGAGCACCAGCTGTTCCGGATGACAATGTGATCACGCTCTCCATAGCCGATGTGAGTAAGACTTTTAAGCAGGTCAACATTCACAAGGCCGCAGGGCCAGACGGATTACCAGGACGTGCACTCCGAGCATGTGCTGACCAACTGGCAAGTGACTTCACTGACATTTTCAACATGTCCCTGACTGAGTCTGTAAAACCAACATGTTTCAAGCAGACCATCATAGTCCCTGTGCCCAAGGACACTAAGATAACCTGCCTAAATGGCTACCGACCCGTAGCACTCACATCTGTAGCCATGAAGTGCTTTGAAAGGCTGGTCATGGCTCACATCAACACCATTATCCCAGAAACCCTAGACCCACTCCAATTTGCATACCGCCCCAACAGATCCACAGATGATGCTATCTCTTTTGCACTCCACACTGCCCTTTCCCACCTGGACAAGAGGAACACCTACGTGAGAATGCTGTTAATTGAGTACAGCTCAGCGTTCAACACCATAGTGCCCTCAAAGCTCATCACTAAGCTAAGGATCCTGGGACTAAACACCTCCCTCTGCAACTGGATCCTGGACTTCCTGACGGGCCGCCCCCAGGTGGTAAAGGTAGGTAACAACACATCTGCCACGCTGATCCTCAACACGGGGGCCCCTCAGGGGTGTGTGCTCAGTCCCCTCCTGTACTCCCTGTTCACCCATGACTGCATGGCCAGGCACGACTCCAAAACCATCATTAAGTTTGCCGAATACACAACAGTGGTAGGCCTGATCACAGACAACGATGAGACAGCCTATAGGGAGGAGGTCCGAGACCTGGCCGTGTGGTGCCAGGATAACAACCTCTCCCTCAACGTGATCAAGACAAAGGAGAAAATTGTGGACTACAGGAAAAAAAAGAGGACTGAGCATGCCCCCATTCTCATCAACAGGGCTGTAGTGGAAAAGGTTGAGAGCTTCAAGTTCCTTGGTGGCCACATCACCAACAAACTATCATGGTCCAAACACACCAAGACAGTCGTGAAGAGGGCACGACAAAGCCTATTCCCCCTCAGGAGACTGAAAAGATTTGGCATGGGTCCTCAGATCCTCAAAAAGTTATACAGCTGCACCATCGAGAGCATCCTGACTGGTTGCATCACCGCCTGGTATGGCAGCTGCACGGCCTCCGACCGCAAGGCACTACAGAGGGTAGTGCATACGGCCCAGTACATCACTGGGCCAAGCTTCCTGCCATCCAGGACCTCTATACCAGGCGGTGTCAGAGGAAGGCCCTCAAAATTGTCAAAGACTCCAGCCACCCTAGTCGTAGACTGTTCTCTCTGCTACCGCACGGCAAGCGGTACCGGAGCGCCAAGTCTAGGTCCAAAAGGCTTCTCAACAGCTTCTACCCCCAAGACATAAGACTCCTGAACAGCTAATCATTGCTACCCGGACTATTTGCACTGCACGCCCACCCCCACCCCCCTCTTTTATGCTGCTGCTACTCTGTCTATTATTTATGCATAGTCACTGTAACTCTACCCACATGTACATATTACCTCAATTACCTCGACTAGCCGGTGCCCCCGCACATTGACTCTGTACCGGTACCCACCTGTATATAGCCTCCCTACTGTTATTTTATTTTACTGCTGCTCTTTATTATTATTTTATTTTTTTACTTAACACTTTTAAAAATGTAAATTCTTAAAAAATGCATTGTTGGTTAAGGGCTTGTAAGTAAGTAAGTAAGTAATGTCTACTACACCTGTTGTATTCGGCGCATGTGGCAAATACAATTTGATTTGATTTGAATACTTATGTAGATGTCATATTTCCGTTTTTTATTTGTAATACATTTGAAAAAAAATCTAAAAACCTGTTTTTGCTTTGTCATTATGGGGTATTGTGTGTAGATTTATGAGGGAAAAAAAACAATTTAATACATTTTAGAATAAGGCTGTAACGTAACAATGTGGAAAAAGTGGGTCTGAATATTTTCTGAATGCACTGTATGTGTGTGTGTACGTGTGTGTATGTATGTGTTTGTGTGGTCGCCTTACTTGTCTCCTTTGCTGCGAGCGATGCCGATGAGTTTCTCTATCCCGCCGGCATCTCTCAGTGCTTTGGCGTTCTCCATGTTCTTAGTGATGACCTCATGCAGAGCGCAACAGATAGCCGTTACCGTATCGTCTGACATTGTCTTACCGGGCGCCATCGGATCCCCGGTACCTCCGCTAGTCCCACCACTGCCCCCGGTACTGTTACTGCTGCTGCCCGGTAACCGGTGGACCAGGTCACGCATGGCGTATTTACCTGAGAGGAGAGGGGGACAAGAGTTAGCGCTTGGGTTAGAAAACAGAATGTCTGAAAGAGTATGCTTGTGTGTGTGTGAAGAAAGTAACAATCCTCATTGGTGTGGCCTGTGTGGTCCAGCGGTTACAGCCACTGATCCCGCCACACATGTATGCTAGAGTTGGCATGGGTTCGAATCGGCTCACTGCCCTTTGACTCACTCTCCGCCATCTTTCCACCACTTTACTATCTCTTCAATCAAATTACGAAAGGAGTGGGACTGCCCCACTCCTTACAAAAATACTAAATTAAAAACAATCCTCATTGGTTCAAAAACAACATTATTTTTTCCTCCTCATATCCCTGTCCTGTCTTTGAAGGAAACACAGCCATTTACCAGTATCATCCTCTGACAATCCAACCTTACAGAGCAGTACAACAATCCCTAAGCCTGTCTGTCCTCAGTCTCTTTCAGCTTGGCCTGTCTGTCCTCAGCCTCTCTCAGATTGGCCTGTCTGTCCTCAGTCTCTCTCAGCTTGGCCTGTCTGTCCTCAGTCTCTCTCAGCTTGGCCTGTCTGTCCTCAGCCTCTATCAGATTGGCCTGTCTGTCCTCAGTCTCTCTCAGCTTGGCCTGTCTGTCCTCAGCCTCTCTCAGATTGGCCTGTCTGTCCTCAGTCTCTCTCAGCTTGGCCTGTCTGTCCTCAGTCTCTCTCAGCTTGGCCTGTCTGTCCTCAGTCTCTCTCAGCTTGGCCTGTCTGTCCTCAGTCTCTCTCAGCTTGGCCTGTCTGTCCTCAGTCTCTCTCAGCTTGGCCTGTCTGTCCTCAGTCTCTCTCAGCTTGGCCTGTCTGTCCTCAGTCTCTCTCAGCTTGGCCTGTCTGTCCTCAGTCTCTCTCAGATTGGCCTGTCTGTCCTCAGTCTCTCTCAGCTTGGCCTGTCTGTCCTCAGTCTCTCTCAGCTTGGCCTGTCTGTCCTCAGTCTCTCTCAGCTTGGCCTGTCTGTCCTCAGTCTCTCTCAGCTTGGCCTGTCTGTCCTCAGTCTCTCTCAGCTTGGCCTGTCTGTCCTCAGTCTCTCTCAGCTTGGCCTGTCTGTCCTCAGTCTCTCTCAGCTTGGCCTGTCTGTGGAGCAGCCTTCTGATGAAGTCAATACACTGTGACTCATCTGGTATTTGGAAGAAGAGATTGACGTGGACGGGAGGAAATGAAGGGAAGAATCTGACATTAAAAGAAAAGAGAGATGGAGAGAATGAAGAGAGAGAGAGGGAGTAATTAAGAAGCCTGAGATGTCAGAATGAGAGAAACACCTGAGTAAGAACCGGATGGAGGGAAGGATGGAAGGATGGGAGGAAAGGAGGGAGGGAAGGAGGGAGGGAAGAATTAGTCTACACATTAGCCACATTAGTCGTTCATCACACTTCATCATTTCACATAATGTCAACATTGACACACATCTAGGAGGCGGACATCTTTTCCCTGATGATGACTCTTGAAGATGTCTCATCATTGATGAATGATAAACATGACATGTAAATAATAGTGTCGACACACTGGTGAAGAGCTGCTCTTTCAGTCTGACTCATCCTCTCTGGAGAAATGTCAGTTGTCCATGTGAATGTATGGTTACCTACACAGGAAATTGGAAGTCAATGGGTTCAGTGAAGACGGAGGAATAAAAACAGCCGTCAATGTTTCAGCAGCACAGGATTAGGAACCCAGATAACATACTGTATCTCTCAGTGCAGCGGCTTCTATCAAACTGTTTATCTGAGTGACGAAACTGGCTAGGGTTGGCGTTCATACATGGAGGGGCCACATTTTTGAGGCAAAGTTGACTGCAGAATACAAAGGCCTATAAAGATAAAAGGGCTATCAAAGTTCATACACACTCTTAGAAATAAGGGTTCCAAAAGGGTTATTCGGCTGTCCCAATAGGAGAACCCTTTTTGATTCCAGGTACAACCCTTTTTGGTTCCATGTAGAACCCTCTGTGGAAAGGGTTCTTAATGGAACCCCAAAAAGTTCTACTTGGAACCAAAAAGGTTCTACCTGGAACCAAAAAGGGTTCTTCAAAGGGTTTCTCTAATGAGAACAGCCGAAGAACCCTTTTAGGTTTCAGATAGCACCTTTTTTTCTTCATCATTGTTCACACCAGGTTATCATTGCAATTCACAAGACCCATCTTCCCAGTGCTGCTAACTCCTCTCTGTATGGCTAATAGTAATACATTTGAATCTGGGCTGGTGAAATTCCTGCTGTGTCGTGCAAACAGCTTAAAGAACGTCAACGCACCCCAATAATTTACAACATGAAGAAACACACACAGTTTCCTAAGTACTGCATATTATTAGCAGAGAGTGGTGAGTTAATTGGTGAAGTCTTATCTTGTCCTGGCAGGCTGAAGAGAGAGAGAGAGAGAGAGAGAGACTGAATGGACTGTCTTCATTGAGAGGACAATACCAAGACTGACTAAAGCTCTTTATCCTGTGTGAGCCTACTCTACTGGCCAGGGTTTGGCTGATGAGAGGAGAGAGACAGAGCTGATGAGAGGAGAGAGACAGAGCTGATGAGAGGAGAGAGAGAGAGCTGATGAGAGAGAGAGAGAGAGAGCTGATGAGAGAGAGGAGAGAGAGAGAGAGAGAGGAGAGAGGAGAGAGAGATAGATCGGAGAGAGATAGGCCTAGAGAGATAGAGATAGATAAGAGGAGAATGAGACTCTGTGAGAGAATAGATATCGAAGAGAATAGACTCTAGATATCGGAGATTCAAGAAGACAGGACGCCGGAATTATGTATTTTCAAACAACTCGAACAGGGCCTTGGACTAACCTTGCCAGTGGCTGAACCTGGGTGTTTCATTATTATAACTAATAAAGTGTTATATGCCTCATCTACTACAGGGGGCACCATATCACAAGCAACCAGGTTAGCAGTGATGTAAAGTACTTAGGTAAAAATACTTTAAAGTAATACTTAAGTCGATTTTTGGGGTATCTGTACTTTACTATTTATACTTTTGACAACTTTTACTTCACTACATTCCTAAAGAAAATAATGTACTTTTTACTCCATACATTTTCCCTGACACAAAAAGTACTCATTACATTTTGAATGCTAAGCAGGACAGGAAAATAGTCAAATTCACACACTTATCAAGAGAACATCCTTGGTCATTCCTACTGCCTCTGATCTGGCGGACTCCCTAAACAAAAATGCTTCATTTGTAAATGATGTCTGAGTTTTGGAGTGTGCCCCTGGCAGTGGTGTAAAGTACTTAAGTAAAAATACTTTCAAGTACTACTTAAGTAGTTTTTTTTTGGTATCTGTACTTTACTATTTATATTTTTGACAACTTTTACTTTTACTTCACTGCATTCCTAAAGAAAATAATGTACTTTTTACTCCATACATTTTCCCTGACACCCAAAATATTTGTTACATTTTGAATGCTTAGCAGGACAGGTCCAATGGTCCAATTCACACACTTATCAAGAGAACATCCCTGGTCATCCCTACTACCTGATCTGGTGGATTCACTAAACACAAATGCTTCGTTTGTAAATTATGTCTCAGTATTGGAGTGTGCCCCTAGCTATCCGTACATAAAAAAAAACAAGAAAATGGTGCCGTCTGGTTTGCTTAATATAAGGAATTTTAAATGATTTATACTTTTACTTTTACTTTTGATACTTAAGTACATTTGAGCAATTACATTTACTTTTGATACTTAAGTATATTTAAAAGAAAATACTTTTAGACTTTTACTGAAGTAGTATTTTACTGGGTATCTTTTTTTCTAAGGTATCTTTACTTTTACTCAAGAATGACAATTGGGTACTTTTTCCACCACTGCAGGTTAGTCAACTATACTCCCTCTGGAACAATTATTTAACCATGGATTAAATTTCCCTGCTACTGTACGTTCTTTATTAACAAAGGACATATGGAAATGTAGGTATATACAGTACCCAGCTATAGGTAAGTAACTAGCCTCATGCACTTCAGAATGGATCTAAAACGGACTGTTCTCCGAGGTCCTTTACGGCGTGAAGCCACTTCAAGCCAGGTCTGCAAATGTCACTGTGAAAGAGTAACGTTGGCCAGACAGATACTGTATATTACTGACTTACCTGAGCAATAATGGATAAATGGATACCAGAAATAACCCATTTCTCCAAAGTAAATGGCCAGCAATGTGGGCAATTCTTCTTATTTACGAGATACGGAAATTGAAAAAAGGAAAAAGCCCACAGACATCAAAGATAAAACAAAGCTGTTTAAAAGAGGTTGGCAACTAAGGTAAATGGGAAACTCTAGCTATTAGAGATAGGGGTTTCAGCGAGTGCAGGATTTCACACCTGTAATATCTGTCTCTCTGAGGCTGCTTTGATGTGGCTTGGTGACAGGCCAGAGAAGATAAGCTCTTCCGCTGAAATATTCCCCCTCTGAAGACCTGTGGCTCCAATAAAAAGAGACTGCTGTAGGTGCTGCGAACACACAACACACTCACGAATGCACACACACACACGCTCACACACACACGCACACACACACGAAAGAGACAGGGTTTGGTTGAAAGGAATATCCGCTGGTTGATAATACATGTTTAAAATGTGGTGAATAAAAACGTGATTTAAAAATGGCGTTTCTGAGAAGCGCTATCTTTTTCTTTTGTTTCTGTAATATCTGTCTGGAATAGTGATGTCATCCTTAGTAGTCATGGAATGAGGTTCAGATTCAAATTATATTCCAGATTACTTCACAAAAATCTATGCTTACTTCTGACAGAATATACCGAAATAACTTTGAAAAGTTCCAAGTACACATGGCTGACAAGTCTTGTTAATGTAAGCCATCTCTGGCACCTTAACTCCGTAAGTACACCATAGAATGATAATCTATGTACTCATTCTCTCATGATGTATACAAGGCTATTTCCAGCCCTACAGGCTGATAGGGGAGGGGAAGCTTGGAAGACTGCCAGAAAGGAAATGTAACGGGTAAATCGAAAGTGAAGTACAGTCACATGGTACTAATCCCATAGAGAGAGAGCACGAGTGAGCAAATGAGCATATGACTAAAGCTTACCAGATAATTTCACTCACACGCTCTACTCCTGAGTTCGTTTCTCTTTGGCACACCTTTGTGTTTTGTTCGTGCAAAAAATGTGTGTGTGTGTATAAGTGTGTATAAGTGTGTGATGGTGCATGTGTGTAGTGAGTCTCTAGTTAGACGGTGCCCTGCGAAACTGACTCCTCTGCACCCTCAGTGTGTGTGTGTGTATGTGTGTGCCCTGCGGACTGTGACTCCTCTGCAGATTCAGGATCCTGTAATTAATGGCCGCCTGCAGCTCCCACCCTGCGTTTCCACGGTAACCCACCTGAGCACTGATGTCATCATCCCGAGACACAAAGAGAGGAGCCACAAAGAGAGGACTACATGAACTAATATACATAGGACCCAGACATAGAGAGAGACAAAGATATATATATATAGAGAGAGAGACAGACAGAGAAACATAGTTAGAGAGAGAGACAAAGAGAGACAGAGAGAGAGAGAGAGACAGAGAGAGAGAGGGAGGGAGAGGGGGAGAGAGAGGGACAGAAGGAGCGAGAGAAGGAGAGAGAGAAGGAGAGAGAATGGCTCCATGGCAGACTACATGATCTAATATACTGTAGTAGGTCTGAAAGCAGACATGGAAAGATGGGACTCGGGCGAGAGTGATGGAGAGTAGAGAAGGAGGGGAGGTAGAATGTTTAGGGGTGGAGGGAGAGGAGGAGATGTCTGAGGATGAGAGAGGTGAAAGGGAGGGAAAGAGGGGGGAGACGGCCCTGTTACACTTCAATTAGTTTGTTGTTTTACTGTATGGCGGCACCATACATCACCCAGAGCTGCTGGAGCTAGATGATCTGGAGCCACCATATTCCCCTGAGAGAAAACCCCTCCTCTGTCTCCTTGGCACACACATAACAATTTCACGTGAGTCAAATGATCAACTATAAGTCAATTGTAGCAAGCGACGTCGCTGACAATTATTGTAGCGTCAAAATGGGATTCAATTGCCACATAACCATACATTATACAAATCTACCAGATGAATAGGAGAGACATACAAAAACTTGACAGAATGCTGGGTGATGTTGAAAATACGACTAAATCACATTACTGCTAGAACTGAATAAAACACACATGTATATCCTCCTAACAACGTCTTAGCTTTATTTTTCTCTGTCCTTCCTTCTCTCTCTCTCTCTCTCTCTCTCTCTCTCTCTCTCATCCCCTCTTACTTTCCTCCCGTCAACATCCTACCTGAAAAATGATAAGAGACTGTGGCTGTGAGAATTCCAGGTAATTGTCTCGACTAGACTATGTAAATCTAAAATCACTACTGCTCTCTCAACGCTTAACCACAACGGCACAACACTGCTTAACCCCAACAACACTGCTTTTCCCAATGACACACCCTTTTAACGTTGGCAGCACCAAAGACTTAACACGACTTAGAAGTTAGTGGGAAATATGAGATTTTCGACAATGCTCTTAGGTTGGATCCACACAATGGGAAATGACCAGGGTCTAGCACAGAAAACAGTCTTAGTGGCATTCAGCTTGATAGACATTTTGACGTTTTGCTTTCCACTGCCTTTGTTGTTTCTCAAGGTTAGAATAGCTTCTATACAATACAAAGGTATTCTCTGTCCTACCCATTGCTATTACTTTGTCATTCAAGCTCATAAAATGGGATATCTATAATATTAATGTGTAGGCATTCTATGGGAGTAACACTTATGTTTTTGTCATTTCAAGGTTGTGAAATGGATTCTATATTGTATCATGTGTACATACTGTAACTGTAGGCTTTCTTTGTGTTTAACTGTAACATTAAACTTAATGAACCTCCTGTCGCATATAAACGTCTGTGCTCTATCCCCTGCTGTCCTCACATATAAACTCAACCACTACCCTAGAGCAAACTCTCTCTCTCTCTCTCTCCCCCCCCAACCCCCTCTCTCTGGTTCAATAGAATATAAGCCGTGTTATACAGTGCCGCTCAATAACTAAGAAGTGTATTCAAATGAAACCGCACGACAAATTGGAATTGATTTTCCCGTGAATTTGCGAGGGATTACATTATTCAGCCTGGCGTCTCTTGCGGTGCAGAGACCAAAACAACACACTGTGTCTTTCTGTTAAAGCTACACGCTGGGTTATGCCTTCTGCTCTCACATTTAACACATATACAGGAGACAGCTGACATTGTAACTGATCTAGGGTCAGATTGGTATTCATCCCCCTAATGGTTAAGAGGGATGAACAAAGCGTATCTGCACAAAGCCAAAGAGCTTATTATTTAATAGTGAGGCCTTGTGAGGCCTGTACAGTGGGACTAGTAAACAGTCATTAGCCGAGCGCTTCACATTCACTATCAAAGTCTCTTTTTCAAAGTCCATCCGACTCCTTTGATCTGCTTCAATCACAGACGCCACTGAAGACCTCTACTGCAATCACTCAGTTACACTGACAACCCACAGCTAGCCAGAGCTGATGCACTGTGAAGTATGTGTGTGTGTGTGTGCCTTACCTATCAGTTCTTTGTTTCTGATGTCCAGGGCCATATTCCTGAGTGCGGTGGCCACGGCACACACCACACGGTCATTGTCTATCCTCAACAACTCCACCAGGATAGGAAGACCCTTCTCTTTACGCACCGCAGCCCGGATGTACACAGACCACTGAAGAGAGAGGGGGAAGAGTTAGACTGAGGTAACACTGTAGAGGGAGGGGAAGAGTTAGACATGACGGACCACTGTAGAGGGAGGGGAAGAATTAGACATGACGGACCACTGTAGAGGGTGGGGAAGAGTTAGACTGATGGACCACTGGAGAGACAGGGGGAAGAGTTAGACTGAGGTAACACTGTAGAGGGAGGGGAAGAGTTATACTGATGGACCACTGTAGAGGGAGGGGAAGAGTTAGACTGATGGACCACTGTAGAGAGAGGGGAAGAGTTAGACTGACAGACCACTGTAGAGGGAGGGGAAGAGTTAGACTGACAGACCACTGTAGAGGGAGGGGAAGAGTTAGACTGACAGACCACTGTAGAGGGAGGGGAAGAGTTAGACTGACAGACCACTGTAGAGGGAGGGGAAGAGTTAGACTGACAGACCACTGTAGAGGGAGGGGAAGAGTTAGACTGATGGACCACTGTAGAGGGAGGGGAAGAGTTAGACTGACAGACCACTGTAGAGGGAGGGGAAGAGTTAGACTGATGGACCACTGGAGAGACAGGGGGAAGAGTTAGACTGATGGACCACTGTAGAGGGAGGGGAAGAGTTAGACTGAAGTACCACTGTAGAGGGAGGGGAAGAGTTATACTGATGGACCACTGTAGAGGGAGGGGAAGAGTTATACTGATGGACCACTGTAGAGGGAAGGGAAGAGTTAGACTGATGGACCACTGTAGAGGGAGGGGAAGAGTTAGACTGATGGACCACTGTAGAGGGAGGGGAAGAGTTAGACTGACAGACCACTGTAGAGGGAGGGGAAGAGTTAGACTGATGGACCACTGTAGAGGGAGGGGAAGAGTTAGACATGACGGACCACTGTAGAGGGAGGGGAAGAGTTAGACTGATGGACCACTGGAGAGGGAGGTGACAGTAGGGGTTGAGTTAGACAGTACAGTACGACCACTCCTACCTTCCAGCTGCCTGCAGCCAGGTTCTGCAGTGCGCCTGCTGCTCCCTCCAGTGTATCAGGGTTGGAGCACTCTGAAAGCAGGGTGAGGTAGGGCTTCACTATGGACGGGTGCCATAACATCTGGACTCCTTTAGGAGTGTCAGTTGAGTCCTGGAGAGGGCCTACACCATCCCACTATAGGAGGTGGGAGAGAGAGGGGGCAAGATAGATAGACAGAGAGAAGGGATGGGAGTGAGGGGGTTGTGGGGGGGGTTGTGGGGGTCAGGAAAAAGGATGATAAAAATAGGGAGAGAGAAAGAAAAAGTATTCTAAAGTATTCTTTCTCCACATCTATCTCTGCGCTTTCATTAGCAATGTAGCTGTGTATGCCCCTCATATTCCCACTTATCTGTAGAATAAGACAAGGCAGTACACCCAACTAGCAACAGCTCTGAGCGTATATGCCAAGAGAGAATCCTTTTCTCTTTGATCAATCAATCAAAGATGTGCCATTTATGTTTTCAGGTGAATTCTGCCATGTTTCACTGCATCTTCATGATTGGAGGCACTACAGGCTTGCTGCCTAGTCTATACTGTACATTCCCAATCTCCCAAAGGTTTTATGTTCAAAGATCTTCAAAACGTTAACTTTCAGGAGAAATATAACTTGACCAGCACAGGAAATGTGCTCTAACAGTTCTGAATGTGGTGAAAACGTTTTGGAGACATTTTGTGTTTTTAACTGTTTGTAACCAGAGTGAATGAGAGCTGAACTGATTGAACAAAGCCTTCATGGCTTGTGAGGAACAGAGCATATGATTGGTCCGTGGGGAGGGATCTGAGCGAATAGTAAAGCAGCAGTAGTAGTGACTGATGCCTGGAGTGTGACAGAGGGAATGAACAAGTGATTGAAAGTTTGAGCCAAAAGAAAAAGAGAGACAAAGATGCTCACTCATCTGACAGTTAATACATAATAAAATAGTTTGTTGTCTTTTAATGTTCTCTGTTTGAAGCTTTTGCTTTGATTCATAATTTGGATCATAATTTATTAGTCTGTCCCTTCAGAAAATCCCCTCAGTGAACAAATGATATGGCTTGGCGGGAGCTTTTACCATATGTGTTTGTCTGTACTGTGTGTGTATGTTTAACAGGGTTGGTTATGCTTCCACTTGCCACTTCAGAAATATGTATTTAGATGTTTATGTATTCAGATCCTCTGTGTGTGTGTGTGTGTGTGTCCCTACCTGGTCCTGACCCTTCTTCTTCTTCTTCTTCTTGCCCCAGCAGCCTGAGGTCTCTCCGTCACGTCCGTTGGCGTCACACAGCAGACCGTCCAGCTCCTCTGAACCCAGCTGCTGGCCCTGAGACGTCTCCGCTGCCAGTCGGTAGGACAGGTTACGCAGGATACACACACAATTCTCTATGGTCTACAGGAGGGGGAGGGGAGAGGGGAGGGGAGGAGAGAGAGGGGAGAGGAGGGAGAGAGAAAGAGATTGAGGAATATGACAATTTAACCTACAAAAGAGCAAGTACCCTGAGAAAATGTATGTGTGTGTGTGTGTGTGTGTGTGTGTGTGTGTGTGTGTGTGTGTGTGTGTGTGTGTGTGTGTGTGTGTGTGTGTGTGTGTGTGTGAAGCAGCACTTAAAAGGAAGAGTGCCTAATTCCATCCGTCAACCGTAATGTGTTCTAACTTTCAATTGAAAGAAATTCTCTCAAATGAGGAAAAATGACTGAGCCCGAAACATCGTATCACACTCCATTTAACATGGTGTTAGGAGAAGACGAATCAGCAACAGCAGAGGAGTGTGTATGTCCGTGCGTGCGTGTTAGCGTGTGTGTGAGTACCTCTGTAAAGTATCACACATAAGGAGCGTATGGAAGGAATATGGAAAGCAGACTACGTGGAAATAACAAAGAAAAATCATCAATCATTTCGTACGACTCCTGTTTTTTAGAAGTCTCTCAGACCGATCCTTTACACAAACAACTATAATGACGCTAATTGAACAGAATACTCAGACTGACTATATGGCTTCACTGGAATTACAGACTTAATACAAACACTGAGTCGCTCCAAATGGCTCCAATAAGAACAGACCTTGGGTCAGAACAGAACTGTTAGAGGAGTTGTTTACCTCTGAAAACAGCTGCGGTAAATAACTCCAAACATAAACAACAACAGGGAATGAAGGTAGGTTTCATTTCCCTTATTGAACAGAGTGATGCTGGGCCAATTGTGCACCGCCTCATGGGTCTCCCAGTCACGGCCAGCTTTGACACAGCCTGGGATCAAACCCAGGTCTGTAGCAAAGCCTCAAGCACTGCAGCGCAGTGCCTTAGACCACTGTGCCACTCGGGAGGCCATAAATAACTACATTTCTAATAAGGAACTGTACAAATTATACATTTGTGACATCAATTTTGCAAAAACAAAATCTAAATAATTCAATTCAATAATATGAGATCTGTATGAAAAACATTTACATTTGACATTTTTGTCATTTAGCAGATGCTCTTATCCAGAGCGAATTACAGTTAGTGCATTCCTCTTAAGATAGCTAGGTGAGACAATCACATATTACAGTCAAATATACAGGATACAAACATTCCATTCCAGCTAAACAATGGATATATAGCATTTTACCCCAAAGCACATTTTCATACACATCAAAAATGAATAAAAAATCTGAGAACAATAATATTTTACACACACATGAAAGTACCCATAAGCAATAATTTCTGATGACAAATCACAAATGTGAAAAATTGGTGGATATAGCGTTTGGAAATAAACTCCTCATTTAGAGAGACTGAGCTGCAGCAACCTTGAGAAGGTAGCCATCCACAACGTTTCTCTACTACTGTATTGAACTGATGGACACACACATGCAGACCCACACACACACCTTGCTGTCGATGTCGTTGCTGCCCAGAGCGGTCTGTATGATGTAGAGGAGGGCATCTGTCAGTCCGTCACACTCTCTCATCCTCCTCCTGGCCTCCTCTCCAGCAGAACTCACGTTCCTGAAACACACAGAGGGATGGGGCGAGTGTGATTCACCACAGGGTATGAGGCTCTAAAACTATAACATTGGGATTCGGGAATGATATCCACCCAAAAGGGGAATGCAGGATTGAACCAGAATGAAGGACACAAAATGGATATGTTTGTGTGTTTGTGAGCATGTCTGCTCTGTGTGCATCCACATATCTGCATGCGTACCCAACTAGCTCTCACAGTCACATTATTATTAACTACAAAACGGTAAGATGTGTTTTTAATTCTGGTGCCGCTCTACACATACACGCTTGTTAGCTAGCTCTGGTCCAGGGCGTGAAATTGAGCCAACTCTCAAACGTTCAAGTATGTATTTTAGTATAATTCTGTAATTCAGTGAAGTAATGATAGGCTTACTCAAATAGCTCTCACAGTCTCACGTCGGAATTAGACGTTCATCCATGCTTCCCAAAAGTAACATTTTGAAGTTGTTGCAAACGTCAAATTCCGAAGTGTTTAAGGTTAGGTTTACGTATTAACTCCACATTTTTAAGGTTAGGGTTAAGTTTAGGCACTAACTCCTAAATCTTAAGCTTAAGCATTAACTCTGAATGGTTAAGATAAGGGTTAAGGTTTGGTATAGGCTTAAAACTAAAATCTCAAAAACAACTTTCTATCACTGGATTTGAAATTGCAACCTTTGGATTCAGATGCTTACTCCCATCCGCCATCCCACAATGCCCTAGCAAAACCGAAACCTACTTCAAGGTAACATCGCTCACTGTTGCCCCTAGTGGCCGGTTTCCACGTCATCTCCCAAAGTCCTCAAAGACGGATGGACGTCGAATACTGACTTGTATCACGGGTGACCTGGCTGTGCGTACCTGCATGTATGTGTGTATGAGTGTGTCAATTACAGGAGGCTGGTGGGAGGAGCTATAAGAGGACGGGCTCATTGTAATGGCTGGAATGGAATCAATGGAACGGTAACAAACACATCAAACACATGGAAATAACGTGCTGGACATTGATTCCATTCCAGCCATTACAATGAGCCCGTCCTTCTATAGCTCCTCCCACCAGCCTCCTCTGGTGTCAGTATCACTCAGCCGGGTACCAATGGTACTAAACCTATTTGATCCACGCACCATGCAATCTCCCAGTCAGCCATGGATGATAATACACAATACAGACTCATATACTACCTGGCTCTGTCATTTCTTTCCAGTGCGTTCAGAGCCAGCTAAATCAATTGTAACAGTTCATTCAATACAATTGCCAGATGACAGGGGAAGAAAATGATATATTTGCCGAACACATATCCCGCCAAGTCTAGCTCGCTCTTTCGCTCTATCTCTCTTTCTCATATTCTCTCTCTCTCTCCCTTCCCCTCTCTCTCTAATGTGGAAGGCATTAGCTACATGTCACTGAAGCTGTATTGATGATTTGGGGTATTCATGTTTGACATCATGCTGTTAATTTTCTTTATGGTTTTGGGTATATTGACTTAATAAATATTCAACATAGCTGGCAGCCACTGTTTCGATGTCCAAAACCTTTATTTATGAACGTTATGCATTTGCGAAAGCTCATTTGTGTGATTTTATGTGTGTGTGTGTGTGTGTGTTACAGTATGCACCAAGCTATTTTCTTTCATTTGTAAACTTGCCATTTTCACATGCTACTTCATAACAAGGAGACAAGGCGACAGGGTGAGTTGTGGGTGAGGTTTGAGGCGAGAGGAGAGGAGAGGACAGGAGTAGGGTGAGGACAGGACAGGGAAGATGATCCTGTATGTATGAATAAATATAGAGACATTTGTCAGTCAGATCAGGGAAATTATGTGAGTCCATCCCATCAGAGTGAACTGAAGCCAATCACGTGTTTCAGTAATGAGCAGACAGACAGTCAATTAGACGCTCCAGCTCTGGGCTTTGTGTTCACACTGAAGGTCAAGTCATCTCCTATGCTTTCTGAATACCAAACATACATATTATACTATACACGACGGATCCTTAGACTGTGCTCTCGCTGCTAACAGAGACATTAGTTCTGACAGATATGAAATGGGAATACAGTATGAATTCACCTCAAGTAAATTATGGGGATCAATCACAAATCAGGCTGACAGGATGTTTTGATCAAGTTTAAGTAGGCTGATTCATCAACCTGATCAACTGATCAACCTCAAACCTTATTGATATTCAAACACTCACATTTGAATACCTAAAAATACTCCATCATTGGAGTCTTGCTTATGAGTAGAGATGGGTTATAAACAGTATGGTTCCATTCATAGCCAGCTTGATGTGTGAGTGGGAGGACATCTTCATTCCCTGAGTACAGTTTTAATGAAGCAGAGAGGTCACAGCCCTATCCTCACCTCTCTCCCACATATATCCTTCTGATGTGGATTGGTTGTCAATAGAGACTAGAATGTGTGAGTTCCACCAGGAGAGAGTAAGAAAGTAAGAAAAAAATACCCACACGTAGACCATCGTCTAAATCAGTGGTATTCAAAGTCTGGGTCGCAATGGGGGAACTGCAGCGGGGTCGCCAATGTATTAATATTTTTATAACAAATGACTTGTTTTTATTTATTTTTTTGGAACAAAAATCTAAGACTACAGATTATTGTATGGGAAAATATACAAATTGTTTTGAGAAAGATAATTAGAAAAATATGATTTTATTTGGGTAAATCTATTTATTGGTTTCTTTTAATTTAGATAAGAGATGAAAATGCAATGAATTTGAAGGTTATTTGTTGATGTAAAAATCGAAATGTACCGATTTTAAGGTTGTGTCATTAGATTTGGGGTGGGATCGCAATAAATTATTGTGAAAAAAAGTGTCTACAGAAATTCTGGTGGAAGAAATGGGGTCCCTGCTGAAAATTGTTGAATATCACTGGTCTAAATCTTAATTTACATGGCTGCAGAGCTGTCATAGTTTAGAGTTCAGAGTTTAAACTGATTTAGTCACATCTCAAGTCCTAATTATAACGTGAGAGATCCCACATGGGGCCCCAGCTTGCTGATTCCTGGTGTAATGAAAGGTTGAGGAACAATGTTGTAGAATGGTGGTGTGGACTGTGTAATATGCTGGAGACAGACTGTTTGGTTTCTGAGACGAGGTGAAATGATGATGACAACCGACATAAAGAAAGAAAGAAAGAAAATGGGAATAAGCCCCACCTGATTACTGTGTGTGTGTGTGTGTGTGTGTGTGTGTGTGTGTGTGTGCGTGCGTGTGCGTGTGCGTGTGCGTGTGTGCGTGTGTGTGTGTGTGTGTGTGTGTGTGTGTCTGTGTGATGGAGTCAGGCAGAGAGACAGAAGGGGAAATAGTCTGACCTCTCCCCTTAAACCTCTGAGACAGATCATCATAAATCTACTGCAGGAGAACACAGCCATGCTGAGATTAAACACACACACGCACACACACCACTTCCACACCCTCAAACACTCTACTATATGATCGTTCCAATCCTCAGAGTGTGTAAATCTCCAGGCAGGTAACATGTTATTTCCAGCAGTAAATGAGCCTGTTAGCCTTTAGCGCTAACGCCGCTAATTTATTATGTGTTACTCTCTATAAATCCCATCTAATCAATTAGCATACTTTGTTAGCTAATTATTTACTGAACACCTTTAGAACAGGATTCATTAACCCACACATTAAATACTTTTATAGGTGTTATTCTTAGCAGTTGAATAACTATCTACTTTCCTGTAAATAGTTTCAAAGTGAAGCCATGGTACAATGCATTATGTATTATTTGGTATAGCAACCATTCAAGAGTTGTATATCTTATTGGCTTCCAAGTACATTTGAAATCTATAGATTTTCAATAAAGCTACTAGAAACTAGATTTTTGGTCAAGTGTAAAAAAATTTTTTGCACCAGATGGCTATCTTCTGTTGTCCAAGATATGAATAACCTAAGAGGGACTAAGGATGTAACAGCTGCGTGTGTGTGTGTGTGTGTGTGTGTGTGACACCGATTGCAGGGAGCAGCCACCAGATGTTTCAACAGGATTAGGGCTAGGGCGGTCATGAAATTTGGTCAGCCGGTGATTGTCAAGCAAATAACTGCCGGTCTCACGGTAATTTACATTTTACATTTTAGTCATTTAGCAGACGCTCTTATCCAGAGCGACTTACAGTTAGTGAGTGCATACATTTTCATACTGGCCCCCCGTGGGAAACGAACCCACAACCCTGGCGTTGCAAGCGCCATGCTCTACCAACTGTGCTATTGACCGTTAATAGACCGTTAATTAACACATTTAATATCTCCTGGCTTTCAAGCATAGCCTACAAGCCACTGGTGCAGACCTTTGGAACATTAAAAAAAGTATAATACATCAATTTAATATAGCCTACACCAGGGGTACTCAACTCTTACCCTATGAGGTCCGGAGCCTGCTGGTTTTCTGTTCTACCTGATAATTAATTGCACACACCTGGTGTCCCAGGTCTAAATCCCTGATTAGAGGGGAACAATGAAAACATGCAGTGGAACCGGCTTTGAGGCCCAGAGTAGAGTTTGAGGGGCCTACACCATCACAATAAATCCATTACTTATTTTAGACAGGTCTAAAGAAACATGATATGAAGAAAATGTTGTCTATTTCAGAAGAACAGAATAGCATACTCTGAGTGTCCTTATGAGAATAGCATACTCCTTATGTCAGGCCCTGATTTGGCTATGCCATATGGCTGTGAGCTACACTAGTTCATTTAGCAGACCAGATTTGCTTAGAATTCAGTGGCATTAATTTATATTATTTAATAGTACGAAGAATACAATTGAACATAGATTAATAACATAGAAAGGATATTTTCTCCAAACGATTTGAGGGAGTGCGCACATGCGGCAATTCTGTGTTGAGCGGTTAACAAAGAAACAAGTCCTCCTATATGCTTAATTTAGAGTTATTTATTAAACTTCAGTTGTGATAAAAACGTTGGGCTATATGTTCCGATCCTAAGGCTGCATGATGCGACTCTAATGATGATTTGAA